CCGCCTGCCTCTGCCTCCCAAGTGCTAGGATTAAAGGCGTGCGCCACCATATCCAGCTAGATTTTATATTTAAGGTAAGAATTATTGCTTGAGAAATTCACATTGTCATTTTAAAGGTACATTATGTTAGCCAGGCGTGGTGGTGCATGCCTTTAATCCCAGCACTCGGGAGGCAGAGGCAGGTGGATCTATGAGTTCCAGGACAGCTGGGACTCAAAAAGACCGAAAAAAAAAAAAAAAAAAGTACATTATGTTAAATATAAGCTAGACTAATTTGATCTTTTTCTTTTTAAAGGTGCTTCCATCTATGGAGTTCCTGTAACTCCCCGCATGAACTCGAGTTCAAACATAGGAGGAATGGCTACCATCCCTTCCATTCAACTTTTGGGACTTGAAATGCTGCTTCATTTTTTGTTGGGTCCAGAAGTCATGAGTTTTGCTAAACAGCACAAACTTGTATTGAGCTTAGGTATTCTTTTTTTGGAACTTAGGTATTTTTTAAAAAATTAATTTCATGTGTTTGGAACATGGTGGGGTGAGGCGATGTCTTAGTTTCCCCATAGCCCAATTATAAGATTGTGTGTAAACTAATTATAACTGCTGTATAAATTTAGATCAGTGTCCTTGGTAAATATTTGCCCTGCTTGTCTTTCTTCTCCCTTTAGAGCCACTGGAATACCCATTAATTGGCAGCCCTTCTTTTTTCTCCAAACATGCAAATACACTTATCACTGCTGTTCGTGATAGCTTTGTTGCAGTTGGAAAAGATGCTTCAGGTAAATATTTAAGAGAAATTTTTTATTATAAGTTTGTCTTTCAAACACGTATTTAGTTAGTGTTTTTGTGGGTACACACATAGGGATGCCAGAGGACAACTTTTTAAAAAAAATTTTTCATTTTATAAACTTTTATTATCTTCACGATATATAATGTACATTTTCCCATGCAATAAATACATTCTGCTAACAAAAATTTTATGGGCTGATTCAAAAGCAGAATTCTCAGATAGCTCAAGGTAAACAGAGCCCCAAGAGGGAACAAGTAACATCAAATATCTTAACAACTGTACATCACAAACATGTAAGTTTAGGAAGCAGGGGTTAGGGTTAGAGAAAACCTCAAGATTCATGGCATAAGGCAGAACTCAACCATGGTGATCATGGAGACAGGGGCTGTCAGTGCTAAAACTGCCTTTCCCTTAGCTTTCCCATGTGTTGCCACACATCTTCTCCAAGCCTGTCCATGTTCCCTCTCATTCTTTCCTGGGGCTCTCCAACCTTATGCCTCAGATCCTATAGTGCAGGATGGCCTGTCTAGCACAGAAGCCACCTATGATTTCTTTCAGGTACAAAGTATTTGACAGCTTCCAAAGGGAGGACCACAGTCTCTTTTATTAGCATCTTGCTGCTTTTCTTTTTCTTTTCCTGATGATCATTTTTCATGTTGAGATTGTTTGTCCCTTTATCCTCTTTGGACTCCATTACTCCTCGGCCTATCCTTGCTGTGTCCTCCATGACTCTTGGCCTCACAGACTTGCTATATCCAGCTGGGGCCCAGTGCCATCCTGCTGTGCACATGGCAACAGGGAGCTGGTGGCCAGACGGTAGTGATTGCTGGAGGATGTCTTTTTTTTTTTTTTAAGGCTTTTACAATTTTATTATAATCTTAAAGAAAAATCATCAGGGCAGGCGAGCTGGTAATCTTGGCAGCTGCCTTGAGGAAGTGAATGGAGGGAAGAAGGAAAGAAAGCCATGAAGCCAGAGGACATCTTTAAGGAGTCTATTTCTTTGCATCATTTGGGTGCCCAGTGTTAACATGTTATATAGTCCTTTTAAAAGAACAGGTTTAATTTCAAACAAAACATTAGTTTCACAGATTGAGGGTCCCCTAGAGAGTTCTTAGTCTCATTCATATAAGAATTTAAGAATGGACCCAAATGGAAGCTTTTACAATTGTATTAGAATTTTAAAGAAAAATCATCAGGGCAGGCGAGCTGGTAATCTTGGCAGCTGCCTTGAGGAAGTGAATGGAGGGAAGAAGGAAAGAAAGCCATGAAGCCAGAGGACATCTTTAAGGAGTCTATTTCTTTGCATCATTTGGGTGCCCAGTGTTAACATGTTATATAGTCCTTTTAAAAGAACAGGTTTAATTTCAAACAAAACATTAGTTTCACAGATGTATTAAGGAAATAAAGCAAAGCCTATTGGTACACTTCTTTAGTCTCAGCATTTGGGAGGCAGAGGCAGACCTATGATGGTCTATATGGGGCTCTGTAGTAAAACTCTGCTGCCAAAACAACCCCAACAAAAAAGGAAATGATAATTCAAATTAGGGCTCACTTTGCTATTTCTTTAGCATAAGAAAAAGGCAGAATAGGTTTAACATACATACTTTATTTGACAGATGCAGTAGTCAGTGCTATCTGGAACGAGCTGATTAACTTGGTGAAATCAGTTACTGAATCAGGTAAGCCTGTGTGTAAATGTATCACATGTACAGTGCCTGTGGAGACCAGTAAAGGTGTCAGATCCCCTGGAAGTGGAGTTAACCACCAATGTGGGTGCTGGGAATTGAACCCAGAGCCTCTCTGTGCAAATGTTCTTAGGTGCTGACCCATCTCTCTAACCCCTCTCCCAAGTTTATTTACTTTATAAACAACAATGAAAAAAAAAACAGATTTAGTAGGAAATTGTTGTTTATTTAAAATTTTTTTCTGAGCTCTTAAGTAGATAATACCTGTAAAAATTCATGTTTACAATTATATCCTTTTATTCTTTGATAGGAAGTAAAAAAGAGAGACCAGGTTCTGAAGCTTTGACTCTTCTACTAAAATCCTTGGAAAACATAGTGAAGTCAGAAGTATTTCCTGTATCAAAAGCATTGGTAAATACATACATACATACATACACACACACATATATATATATAAGTCTAATTTTGAAATTTGTTTTATATTGACACTTGCACAGATCAGATTGACACAGATCTTGGTGTATCAAGTATTGACCAGTAATTTAGTTCTTTTGTAAATGCCATTCAAAAGTTATTTGAAGCCCATATAGTAAATAGGTTTAGCAGCAGCTATAAAAACCTCAATGTGATTAAAATAATCCATTACACAGATAAAAGGGGGTAAAGGACATGAAACTTGAACCAAAGAAACTTCATGTTCATAATACTGTGATAAGAGTACTGGAGAGAGTTTATACTTGGAAAGCGTTCTGAGCCAGGCACGTAAAACAAATGTTTAGTATTTTTCAAAGAATTCATAAATAACACATTGTCTTAGATTAACTCTTTATTATTGGTATTATGTTTTTAAACAAAAACAGTAGGGCAGAAAAAAAAATTTATGCAGTTTTTATAGTAATGTTTCCCAAATGAGCTTACAGAACAAATAATATCTTAAATTCTGAGTCTATTACCTTTATGGACTGTGACATTTAAATATACTGTGGTGGTATAGCATAGTGGTTAGTATCAAGGACTTGAGATCAGATTAGGTTGAATTTTTATCTAACTTAAGGGAACTTGGGCAATTAGTTGCCCTCTTGGCCTGTTAGTCCTGAACTTAACATTTGTAAAGAGAGTTTATGCATGCAAAGCATTTTGAGGCAGGCACAAAACAAATGTTAATTTTGGTGTATTTCAAAGAATTGATAAAAGTGTATTTTCACTGACTTAGTATTGTTAGGACACGTCATTGTATAGTTTACATAAGTAAAAGTATAGTAAGTCTTTGGTACGCTTGGGATCTTTGAGTTTATAATCTTGGGCTCAGATCTTTTGAAATATTTGCTCTTAGGACTATTTAGTATATAACTCATAAGAGAATTTCTCATAACAATGTAAAAAACAGCCTGAAAGTCCAGTTTTAGCAAAATGGTTGACAGATTATGGGCATTTGTTCATAACAGCATCTATATATATTGTTATAAAAACTTAACAAGGTAAAAGGCCACTGTAATTTTCTGTATTCATTTTGAATGTTTTTAAATACTGTAAATATATGTATATATATACATTAATGGTTGCGTGTACTGTAATAAACCATAAGCAAGCATTGTTTGTTATAAATGGATAAAAATAATAGAAGTCACTACTAGGTTTTTATTCAATGTTAGGTTTTAATGACTAACTATTATAAAATCTTTTATTTTTCTTAGGTCCTCATGGAAATTACAATTAAAGGACTTCCTCCAAAAGTATTAGGTTCTCCAGCATATCAGGTTGCTAATATGGATATTCTTAATGCAAGTATCTTAAATGTAGTGATATGATAAAGATTGGCAAAAATAAAACTTCTATTAAATTTATTCGAAAAAGTGACACTTGGATCATTGGATTTAAAATTTGTTGATCAGGTTAAACTGATACATAAAATAGTTGATTACTGTGAAGAATTAAATATTGTGCTGTGCCAATAGACAGAAATGTTTTCTGGAATTAAATAGTGGTTTTTGAGAATGTAAATTTTCTATTTACTTATATATAGATATAATAATGGTTACTGCTAAAATTTTTATAAATTAGGTAATGTTAAATAACATGAAGAGCTGGGTGTGGTGGTGCACACCTTTAATCCCAGCACTTGGGAGGCAGAGACAGGCGGA